AATTTTGGACTGCCTCCTGGGCAAAAGATGGCTGCGACGGAGACACGCTCACGGCTTGGGCCGGAGATGGCAGGAACTTTGCATGATGGCCGTAAATTTACAGCTGGGTCGTTGCGTAAGGTTAAGCGGGCTCGACATCAGCTGGTACTGTGCCTGTTTCCTGTCTGCTACGTGGCACACACATATCCGCACCGACATACAAGAGTAACATGATAAGTTTTGGTGTGTGTGTGTGTGTGAACAAAATCACTTTGCCTGATTAAATGACGCAAACCAGCAACAGCAGCAGCAGTAACAGCAGAAAAGACAGCAGCAGGAGCAGCAAAAGTAGCAGCAGGAGCAGATATTCAGTTAGCATGCACCTTGGCCAAAATGAATGCCAGCCATTACGGTGAATTGTTAAAAATGCCTGGCTAATATAACCCTAATATGAGAGAGCCTGCTCAGAATGTGCATTCGACCCTTATTTATTGTATTTAAGCAACTGATTTAAATTGATGGCCACATTTGCCAAGTCTGCCAGCGTGCCGCTTGCCACTCACTTAATCAAATTTCAGCCATGCAAAAAGCCTTCAAATTGGCTTTGTGTATGCCACTTTCGTAAAAGAGGTTATTTATTTCATTTCTCAGCCGACAAGCCGCGCATTTATGGTTTGATCACTATCCCCCATGCTGCTTCTACCTACACAATACCCGCATAATAAGAAATATTTTAGTAATTTGTGCACCATCTTTTATTTAATGCCAATGCAAGTGCCCTCTGCGTGATGCGTAAGATCCGACAGATATCGTCGCTATGGCAGTCAATTAACGGCAAGAGATTTTACTTTTCCTTAGATCTAATTCGTATAAATTCATCTACCACATTTACAGCTATTTTTTTTTTAAATATCTATCATATGGCAAACATTTCAAACGCAAAGTGCAATTAGGTCATTAGCACGAAAATAAATCATTTAATAGAACTTATCTGTGTATTCTTTTTGTTGATAGAGCATAATTTTGGAAGGGCTGATAACTTGCTAAGCAAACACGAGCGCTGAACTCTGAATTGGTCTTAGCTTCAAATAGTTAAGAAGTTTCTTCTTGAAGGGAGGAAAGGAACATGATACATATATATATATATTCATATTCTAAGTAAACAATAATATATATTCTTAGTAAACAATAACGGGCCGAATATGTGTGCTTGTTGTGGTAAATTATTATATTTTTGGGCTGCGGCTTTACGTTTAAAGAATAATGCTAGTTTATTTAATCATGGATGGTTATTTTCCTAGTTTTTTTTTTGGATATTTGTAACAAAAAGAGAATAAACCCCTTAATCGCAAAGCAGGTTTCAGTTTTTAAATAAACTTCAGAAAGTCAACGTTTCGTATTGACTTTTAGCTCACAGGGTCCTTTTAGTTATGTCTTCTTATTTGCTATAAGGTTTCATTGAAAATGCTTGTAAGCCCGATAAATGTACCAAACCAAAATCTAGAAATGCTTGCTTCAAAGTGCTTTCCGCACAGTTGCAGTAATAAGAACAGCTATAGAAATAAGTAAGCTTTTTATAGTCGGGAATGACTGACTATAGGATATTTTGTAATCTAGCTTCAAGCTGCCTTTCACAACCTTACGATTCGGCTGTGTGTCTTCTTCCATTTGTCTCACGCCAATGGAATTCTTGAATTATAATATGTCAGCCAAATGTGTGAATATACCAATGACGTAGCAAAAGGCGATATATTGTTAATTTGTTGATAATTTACGAGAAGCCATATATACACTTTGGTGTATCTAGTTTAAAATATTTAAAGACTGTTTTAAAATTTTTTTTTTTAAATGAAATAGAGAGAAGAGTTTTAGAAAAAAATAGTTTTGTTTGAAAATGCTTCCTTCCTCACATACATAAAGTTGTATACCCTTTTTGTCCACCCTCATGGGTTCAGGGTATAAAAACAACAATAACAGTTGCAATAGCTAACGACAGGTAGAAGCCTTTGGCACTTAGCCATATAAAACTTTAACGAACTTTTTTGTGCTCTATTCACAAGTTGTTCTTGCTTTCGCTGCTGGTTTGCATTGTGAGCTGGTTCGTTTTAAAATTGCAAATTCAGCAGCCGCCGTACGACCACACAGACACACACACACACACACACACACACTAACACACACACACACACACTCACACACACACTCACACACACACACACACACACACACACACATGAGTATTAAAATACGGCCACTGCTGTGAGGAGCTCTTCCGGCGGTTGCCAGGTCAGCCACACAGAGGCGAGCTAAACCAATTGAAATTCGAATTTTGGAAATGCGGACAATAACATGGCTTTGACATTGGTAGCTGCAATCCCCAATGCCATCAGCAGTTGTCGACATTGCTAGCATTGCGTCAGCGTGGCAGCATAGCATGCAACACTTAGCGGCACCACGAATGACTTTGCATATTTTCGCTGGGGATGCAGGAAGTTGCAAAATCAGAGTCTGCACATTACTGTGCGTGACAGCCACTTTTGACAAGGCCATCAATCATCAATTTTGCCAAAACAATTTGACCTGATGGGGCAATTGCTATGCCTTGGACTTTGTTTTATTTGTGTCAATTAGTCCAAACATTTGGCGGCAAATGTGGCGAAGCAGGCAAATAAGCAAATTACTTGCCGCAACACTTGGCATACAACACCTAAATAATGCCGCAACCTGCAATCAGATAAACTGTAGAGTCAGAGTCAGAGTTAGAGTCAGAGCCAGAGACAAAGCCAGAGTCAATGTCAATGGATATCAATAGGTTGGCTCCGAGGCGTTTCAGCCAGTCAGCCAACTGGCTGCTGCACTTGCAATTTCAAGGAAATCGTTTTCAATTACGACAGTGGTCTGGCAACTATTCCAGCCATACCCTTGCCCTGTCTCAGCAGTGTGAGTGACAACCAGGCTGGCAGTCAGGCATTCTGCCAAGGAAATCGATGATTGGGCTTATAAATAAATATTTGTTCGATTTCATTGGCTAACTGCTGCTTCTGCAGAAATCAGTTTACTGCTGCTGCACGATGTGTGTAATAAAGCACACACAAATCAAATTCGTAGTCATGCCCTGCCCCCGCAAATGTAATGCCCAAAAGATCATTGATTGTATTAGTGTCGTGTGCTGTTCCCGAAGCCATGGCTCGCAAAAGCAGGCGTATTGCATGCTAATCACGTTAAGGGGGGGCTGGTAATGAAAAAATTAAATAAACTGACACGCGAACAGACAAATGATGTAAGCGATACAATAACAAAGAGAAATATAAGTATAGGTATTTATTTTTGTTGCGCATCTGTATATAAATTACAATTTACTTCGAAGTTGAAACATTCAGCGCTAAAACATTAGGAAATATTGATGTTTGATTATGGCGCCCTATCTAATTGTAGTCGCCCAGTATAAACTCATGAGCTCTTTAACATTGCCCTGAAAAAGACAAGTGGAGAAAAGGCAGAAAATATAGGTTAAAAAATAAAACAATTAGCTTTATCTATTTCGAGCGGTGCCTTCAAGCCAGCCAAGCTATGAGTATGGATGGCATTTGTTTGAAATTTAGTTTGTTTCCTCAACAACTAATGTTGTGGCTTTGGCATGCAAGCTGAGTATTCACTTAAAGCGCAAGGAAAGGTCGCAAAGGTAAGAAATATGTTTAAAAATTGTTCAACTTAAGGACAGGGACATATTATTGATACTTAAGTTTAAGGAACATGAGAAACCTCAGATCTAATTAATCGCAAGAAATTGCAACTTCCATCCAAGCAATGCACACTCATTTAGAATTAGAAATACAAAGATTTTTGGCGTTTTTTGCCAAAGCCCATTATTTAATGTTGTATGTAGTTATAAGAGTTTAAAACAGATTTTCACTTTAAAGCAGTTGCTGCTGCCTCTCTAGAAAAGAAGTTAAGTTAAGCCATGCAAAACCAAGAAATAAATAAATAAAAAATTGTCTTTTAATTGTTTGATTTATGCTCTTTTATTAAAATCCTTTTTATGGCTTAGTTTATGTATGTAACCATAACTTACGCAAATCCAAACCGAATTTAATGTTGGACACGTTAACGCAAGTAAATTGTTCATTTTTTAAATTTTCCGGACCTTTTATGGCGCTTTAATTAATTATCGCTTGCTTCGTGATACTAGCAAAAAGTAAATACCTTTGCATCAGCTTAATCACTAGGGCAACGACATGCAACTTCGTATAGCTCGGTACGTGCAAATTACATCCCTATGTTAAGTTCGTTAGTGAAACGAACTATTTGCCACTGCTTGGGACCAGTATTCACTTCGAAAAGGCAGAAAAATAGTTAGTGGCGCACTAAAGGAGTCCAGCACAGGGTATTTACACCGAGAATTGCTCAATTGTTTTTACCCCACTGTGCTTCACTTTATTCGATTGCGGAAATTCGGTAAAATACATAGCCATACCAAAATTAAGACATGTTTGAATAAAGTCTTACTATATATATTTAACTCGTGTTAGTGTCTTTATTGCAGTTATTGTAGTTCGCTTGAATTTTTCCTTTGTTCCACCTTTTATTAAGCTAATATATATAAAACAAAATATAAATTAATACCGATGAAAATCTATTCATTAATAAAAAAAATGTTTTTAATATTGTAAATTTTATGTTACCTTAATAATAGGTTCACCATTTATGACGAGGCTCGATAATATTATAGTCCTTATCTATATTCTGGTATAGTCTCAGCTCATTAAATTGTATATGCCCGAAGGAAGGGTGCATGATAAGAAACTTAAAAGTTAATATGCTTCGAGCTCTTCAATATTGCATTCAACGAATTTAAGTCGAAATAATCCTTAATTATACTTTTATTTTCAAGGCAGTCAATTATATTTTTGGCATATATATATTGTAAGTTTGTGCTCGCCATTGCAATTATTTTGTGTTGGGCGTTACTCGATATTCAGGTTACGTGCCTTTCGTAAGTACCGAGCGGCCTGTCAAATGTCAAATTTAATCACAGCTAATAATGAACATTTCATGAATGAAAATTTTCAACGAAAAACCTTTAAGCCCAAAAGCTACAGCGGTTCAAGGACTGCGTGACAATGGCACATTGTAGCCGAAGGTTCTGCCTATAGAATATTACTGATGGAGCTAATGGCGCACACACACATGCGCGCCCACACATATGTGTAAAGTAAGCACATACGAACAAACATAAAAATACACGCGCACTCGCATGTGTGCCGTAACATTGAACTTCGCCATTCGCTGTCCATCAACAATGAGCTCGCACTGGAATTATTTATAGGTAAGTGGTCCTGCCATTTGGTTGACTCTTCTGATGGACATTTATTAGTACCCGCTACACCGCTGCCCTGGCAGCCGTTCAATAAATTTGCTGCTATTTTAAGCGTCAAGTGCATTTTAATAGGACAACGCGGCGTATGCGTAATTTGATTGCGTGCTAAGTTTAGAGATAATTCTATGGAATCATAAGCAAGTCCACACAGCATGTCACAGTTGGTACTGATATGCATTGATATGGAGGGTTAAAGAGCTGTCAATTAACTTTACATGTTTTTGGTTTTTTGTTTATTGTTATTTTTTGTTTTTGTTTTGGTTGGCTCTGATGAATGGCAATTAGGGCGCAATTATGAAGCTGGTTTTATGCGAATTAACGTGACACTCGTTGGTTGCTTTGGGAACATTTTGCAAGATTTAATTGCTCCTGTGTGTTTTGATGGCAGTCAGCCGGGAGTGTGCGTCTGTTCGGGTGGCAGATTGGCTACTTTTGCAGCATATTTTGCAGCAGTGAAAAGACCTTGGGTAAAATGTGTTAGCGAGCTGCTAAATAAAACAAACTGTCAATTTTAAGAGGACGGCTAATTGCACCGTAAAAAATATTCTTCTCTTGCTAATGAACCAATTTGCGAAAACACTTGAGCTCAATTGGCAGGCCATTGAAGTTAAATGAACTGTTTTGTGAGCTATTTGCACAAATTAGGCGCATGTCAAAAGCAAAAACCAAACATAATGATGGTAAATAAAAACTCAAAGCAACAAACGGAAACCGAAAAATATATAAATATGTAAATAAATAAGAGGAGTATTTTTTTTTTAAATTATCGGCAAATTTTGCTTGTTTAATCCTGCGTTTGAATTTTATAATGGCCAAGTTGGTGAACTGCTTGCGGCGTGTTGCTAGTTTTGTTCGCAGGCACTTTCGATGGCAGTTTTATTGATTTGTTGTTGCCAACTTTTGCTTTACGCGGCTTTAATTTATGGTGCTTTCAGCCCCAACAACACGACCCTGAAAGCAGTGCCAAAAATTTGCATGTGCTGACCAAATTTATTTTGTGTTTCTTTTTTTTTTTCAAACAGACACATATACTGTTTAATTTTGGAGGGCACCGCAAAATTGTCGACCAACAAATTTAAACTGTGCACGCCCGTTTACTTTCCAAGCACTTTGTTATTTATTTATTTTTTTGTTGCTGACTTTTGCATTTAATGTTCATAATTCTCATATTTGAATGTGCTAGCATTATCATAAAACGGTCTATACAAAAACTTTGCAACCAGCGCAAAAAAGTATGCTATAAAAACTGAGCGGCGTTTAGTGGTGTCTAAACCGCACGCGCTAATTAAAAGAAATAACAAAAGCGAAAAACACGCCGAATACAAACAAAGCAGCGACAATAAGTGTTAGCTGCAGTAGTTTGATGTGCTGCCGTTAAAAATAGAGTACAAAAAATAATAGAATCGCGCATACGCCACGTGCCGCGAAAACATGTGCGTGACGCGTAAATTTCTTTTAATTAATTTGCGTGGCCTTTAACCTTAAAAAGGAACCTTGATTAAATGCAGTTCACAATGACTGGGCGCTAGTCTAAAATGAAAGCAATTAGATTTCGCCAAAAATTGCAGCCAGAGCGTAAACAAGGGGATGCCAAGAAACAAGAGCTCATAATTAAAAGTGAAGGATAACAACCACAGCACTGCGCTTAAGGGTGTTATTGTGATTAGGATTGACAAGAATGCCTTGTATAATATTTTGTGTGAAAACCCTGAAAGAAGTGCTCCACAATTCTGCTGATGATTATCAACATTAGCTCCACTAGTTTCTATATTATATGTCTATAATTATTATTAAAAAATTTGTAGTTATTAATTATAATTTTGTCACGAAATACGACACTCATAAAAGCCTCCCAGCTATATCAACTCATACAATACAATACAAATATATATAAGTATATACTGTCGAAAACGTATGCTAAGCTCTATAAAATCCCCGACAAAGTTATAACTACATTTACAAGGATATACAATTTGCGATTGGAAAGGTTGATAAGATCAACTTGACAGCCTGACAGTGATTGCTCGGCAGCACTACTTCAAGGGCTCATTAAATGTATCACAAATATAATATCGATAAGTTTAAAAAATTTAAGTTAAATTTTTCTTTTAGATACTTAAAGTCCTTCAAATGCTAAGCACTTATGCCATTTGTTGGGTCAAGTATAAATGTGCTGGTTGAGTGTCTACTCCCACATACATGCGCGCGCGCATACTCACTCGCATACGTTTGCCTCCACTTAATGTGGAAGCAGCCAAGCGTTAAGAGAAACGTCAAGACCTTAGGGCTACTCCAAGTGAGCCAAGACCCTTGGGTACTCTACTTATTTACACAAGCGAAGTGTACATATTGTCAGATTTGAACAATTATTTGTAGAATTATGAGATGTACAAATGTAGCTGTATGAATTTCTAACCCACAAAAGGCCAGGCGAAGTCACGTGTTGGTCTGTCAGTTGTGTCCTTTGAACGAATCACAGCTAATGACGGGTCGTTAGCCGCCAAGTTGATCCAACTGGGACACAACGCCAGTCACGTATTCTAATTTAATTTCTGCTTTACTTCACCTTTAGCACTGCTGCCCAATTTAATGCCGCGTCGATTTATTTGCCTGTTGGAGCTGAAATCCTAAAACATGACGAAGAAATCATCAAAAATGTGGGCAAGCATACTGGCGCTGTCGGGCAGTTGCCTCGAGCCATTTGGCAAACGCATTATGCCGTTGATTAAGGCCTATGCATTATTTATGTAGGTCAGCGAAACGACCTTTAATTGGCTCGCAAGTGCGCTGTAATGTCCTTTCCTTTCCACCGTTTTTCAACAGCTTGCCTGCCTGGTAGTCCTTTCAGCGACTATATTTAACAGCAACACAAAAGTTCGCTCGCCCTGCAGGCACCGAGGGGTTGAGCGTACCGCTAATGCTTAAAAATTGCTAGGAAGTGGGCCAACGAGAATTGCAGGGGCTTTAAGAATATAGTTCTGTTGTATTTGACAAGCCGTTTCGACTCTTGGATGTTAAAACTCTTGTAATATATATTTTATATTTATTTTAAAAACAATATTTTTAATTTTTCCGGTTCTCTTTTATTTATATTATTCATAAAATTCTTCACCTTCGGTTTCAAAATATTTACAAAGTGCTGTAACATTCATACTTTAAAGGGGATTTATAGCTTTAGTTTCCGTTGTAATTTAAAATACGACTTAATTATTGGTAATGCAACAAATTTAAGGGCACAAAATAAAGTCCGGCACTTTGCCAACGTAGCCGGCTGGCAGCTCAGCCAATGGTGACATTCGTGGAATTGAAAAGTTTTTACTATAAACAGGCCAACAATGAATTTTCACACAAGCCAACCCACTAGACGGAGCAATCAGAAAGAAAAAGACAATAAAAGTGTGTATCCGGGGGGCAGAGCATGAGAGGATGCACTGGTGTGCAACTGTATTGCACTTCAACGCTTTACTCAATGAATCATGAACAACAGCAGATTTATATTTATTAGCACACAAACACACACACATAACAAACAAACACACATGAGAAGGCAAATACATGCAGTTGGAAAATGCGTGTGCTAACAACGATTGGTGTCCTTGATACGATTCAAGTACGACCGTCAAGTGCGCCAAGTGTCTCATTGTGCATTTGTGTGTCCATGTGGCCGCTTTGAAGGTCGTCGTCAATATACGACCAACTACGGCCGGACAATGTCATTAGGTACTGCTATGGGGGGTTGGGTTGGATGTTTTGGTTGTCTGGGGCAGTTCGTTCTGGTAGCCGAAGTCTCGTTTCCTTGTAAGCTGAACGGCAGTGAAAACAAAAGAGCCCGTGCAGATAATTGTGAACGAACTACTAAAAATCAATTGAGTGACTTTGCATTTCCGAATATCACACTATTTTTATTCTCTAACGACACCGTCTACTACCACTGAAACTTAAACCTTGGTTTGTAAATGGTTTTTGCTTTGTATTGACTCTTTGTCAATATGGCCAAACAAGACTTTCGAGTGCGCGCGTAAAAAATGAATGAAATGCGAAAATTCCACGGTACATATTGTTGGAATTTCTTCCCAGAGTCCTGTTGTAGTTGTCATCGTTGCCGTCGCCGATGTGTTTTCTGTGTTTGCCAGTTGGCTTTAGTTAACCAGCAGAGCACACAACACGTCAACACGACCGGCTCAGGTGTGCGCATTGTTTGCCGCAGTGGGTGGCAGCCACAGCAACAGCGGCATCAGGGGGCGGAGCAGCAGCGACCACAGTCGCCGCAGGCGCATCATTTGCGCTCTTTACTGTTTGATTAACGTTTTAACGATTTGTGCAAACAATTGCGGCAGTAACAGCAAGCAATAACAACAAACGGCTGTAAACGAAAGTGTGTGCAAGCATCCAACTGTTAGCTTACGAGCACTCAGAATCCACAGCAGCAAAGGGACCCGCCTCCTTGTTATTATGCTACATGTTGTTTCTCAATTAAAGTAAGTGATGCTGACGACATGTACAACAACATTTCAGCCGACAAAATTATAAGCAAATATTGACTTACAAATTAGATACTGCACTCATGGCCACACACATAGTATATTTTATTAATTACATAAATATTACATTTGAATATTACATTGAAAATTCATATGAATAATTAATGTCTCTTTCCTCTGAGGAGCTAGGAGTTAATGTCAATTACAATTCAAAATGTAGACGATTGTCATAACTGCACCCTCAAGACATTTTAATAATATTCATGCTCTTTGCAATTTTACAGATTTGACAAATTGTACATGGCAAAGTTTAAGATATGAGCAGACAAGCAATTTTCTATTAAGAAAATAAATAAAAATATATATAAAATAAGCACACAGTCGCTTTCATTAATTCGCTGCCCACTTTTAGTAATCCTTAACGAAGAAACAAAAGCCTTCTGCAACCTTTCTTCTCACAAGTCAACATCATTATAATTACTGATCATTATCCGTTTGTTAGATACGACTCAATATAATGATTATGAATGGGATGCGGTTTGGGGTATTTATAATATATTAAAAAGATTATTACTGAGAAGATAGTAGAAATTGATTTGTCATAGAAATCTGATTTTGTCTTAGTTAGTTTCTTAACTCACAGTGTTCATTTTGGATCAATTTAATGTACTCGGGCAATCGTAATTACCTTGGAGTAAACTTAAATTAAAAGCTGTCGTTCTCAAGTTTGCTGGAGCAATAATAAGCAGTAATGCCAAGTTTCATTAGGACTGAGAGGCAAGCTTGCGTAGAAACAGGGTTAAATACTCGTCTCGTAGTCCTAAGCAACCGGAAGTCGGAAACGTATTTTAATTTGTGTATATAAATGTGAGTAGTAGCTAATTACAAGTAAGAGTGCTCTAGTTGGGTGTGCCCGACTAAACAAAACCCTGAACCCAGTGCCTAGCTGACGATACGAACATTCAGACACATATAAATGGGGAATACATTTTTGTTTATTAAACTAACTATTTGATTGACCCAGAGTCATAAGA